AGCTGTGTCTACCACTTCAACTTACAACAGTAGTTCGAATGTGATACCATGCTTCAGCATACTTAACACCTCTTATCCTTATCGAATAATTTTCTACGTGATTTCACACTTCTTTCAATGGATTTTTGCAACTCGACGTAAATTAGATTGGCCGTGCACTGGAACATCAGGGTAATCGTTAAAATCACCAACGTTACAGTGTCCTCGTGTGCTCTGATAATGACTTGAATACTCGCTAACCTTGAAAAATAGCACACACTTGATTATATCGTGGATCTTTCACTGTTTTCATAGGATGCTCGCTTCTAGGAATTTGTATATTTTCTTTTAAGATTTATCGGATAATGGAAAATTGTTAATTTTGCACGAGGAATTAATCTCTTAAGTTGAAAGACTCGGAAATTGATGTTGAAGAATACTTACAGGTTTTGTTATATCTATGCTTTTCCCTTGTCACTTTTTCAAACATGATTTCAAAAAATTAGTACAGCAATGGAAGGTGTGAAAGTCGAAAAATTTTTGAATGGAATTACTCCCTGGTGCTCTAAGTTCCCCAAAATTCAATTGAAATTACTCCTGCAAATTCGATAGAAATTATTCTTATTAGTTACCATCGAATATCAATCGGTTAACTGTTCTTCCAGTCAGTTAACTTGAAATCCAGTGTTGGAAATCCTAATTCAACTGATTTTGGGAAAAACAGCCCTCGCGGGTGTCGGCATCTGCCGGTTGTGATCAAGTGCGGGCGTAGAGGATCGATCGAGGAGCGTCGACAAAGCCAGTCTCGCCCCTTCCGCTGCCACGAAACGTTCTCCATCGCGAATTACGGGTGAAAACGAAGACGGAAAGGGTGCAAAGAAAGTGGCAATGGCGTGTCGTGCGCGTAGAACAGTCCAAGGGGAGTGAAAATCGCGGGGAATCCCACAGGACGATGCTCGAGGGTTACGCGCCTCACGAAAATCCGCACGTGTTTTCCGCGCAGCCGGCGAACAGCTGCTCCCGCCGATTTCGACTCGTTTGGAGAATACAGGTGGTTCGTTGAATTGATGTTTAGTTGAAACATTCACTCTCTTATGCGTTGCATCGTCGACTTTCTAGAAAAGTGACAATACCGACGAAAGATAAATGTTCGGGAAATCGGTTCGAAATTTTTCGTGGTTTTTGATAGAAACTTATTAATTACTCAACCATTTAGCAATGGAAACACTTCATTTTTTTGATTTACAATTTAGGTAATACTTACTTAATACTTCAGGTAATACTTGGGTAAAAAAATTGTTGCATATTTTTGCACGAAAGAATGAGATAGAATGCAATTAAAGAAGTTACCTGAATGATCGAGTTCAGTTACCAGTTCAGCTTTCCCTTTCACTCTCGAGCTGGCACGCGAGTGGAATTGCCAGCTTTCAACCTCGACAGTGTCAAATGCGCGCACTTGAGCTTGTCGGGAAAAGGCGAGAGGCAACTTGTTAGATCTTTGTTTACGAACTTGACAGAGAGAATTCGAAAGTGATTGCATTATCCTTGTGGAAGCTGTAGCTATTGAATGATTAGCAGGAGCTGTTTAATTTAATGAAAAAATGCAAACTTCATCTAGGAATAATCCAGAAAAATGTTTCTCTTCCTATCTTCTAGTAATTTATCCAAGTTCTTGATTATTCCCTTTTTGTGTT